CAAACATCTTTTTCTTAGTAACTATTAAGTTCCAGGTATTCTTTAGGTCTAGGAAATATAGGACGAATAAGAAATCAACCTGGTCTCTAACTACTTTGAGCTGAAACAATTGTCCAATGGTTTTAGACAGTTGGTCCTGACTCTCCTCTCTGTACATATATTGTAAATTATAGTGGCCTTAAGCATAGGGTTTGGAACCAGGAAAATCAGTTCCAATCCTACCTCTCCCATAACTAGTTTTATGAACTTGAAGAGATGATTGTAAAATGGAGATAATAGTGTCTATCTTTTTGAGGTATAGAGGTCACAAGGATAAAATTGTTTAGTCCTGAATTTGGTAATCTTTCTGTAGTTATAATTATACAATTGTGTATATGTATACAATCTACATTTTATCATTGAAGACAGTAGTTCCAGTTTTTCTAAGGGTTAATATCCTGTTTTTGATTACTCAGGATTTCCTGTCCCTTCCTATCATGGATTACTGTTTCTGTATTTCTAGTTTATCAATGATCCTCTTACTCAACGGAACACAATATTCTGTATGTAATTTGGCTAGAGCCAAATTGAGCAGAATTATTTTATCCTTGGAGTTTTTTTTTTTCCTCCTATCAAAACAGTTAAAAAATAAAATTAGTTTATTTGGGAGCTTCATTCCACCGGGACTGAGTTCTGAAGAATCCCTGAAGTTTTCTCTTCCTGGACTGCTCTGCAGTTGAATTTCAAGCTCAGATCTCATGCTTGTTCTTCAGTTGGAAGCCTGAGGCATTTTTCTCCCACAGACATCATCTTGCTGCCTAGTATTATAAATTTCTGAGGTTAATATAGATACTTTTTAATCTAACACATTCTTTTTTTAACTTCTATTTAATAAATATATATTTCCAAAGTACAGCTTTTGGATTACAGTGGCTTTTCCCCCCCCATAACTTCCCTCCCACCCGCAACCCTCACATCTCCCGCTCCTTCTCCCATTCCATACACATCAAGATTCATTTTCAATTCTCTTTATATACAGAAGATCAGTTTAGTATATATTAAGTAAAGATTTCAACAGTTTGCACCCACACAGAAATACAAAGTGTAAAGTACTGATTGAGTACTAGTTATTGCATTAATTTACATTGTACAACACATTAAGGACAGAGAGCCTACATGGGGAGTAAGTGCACAGTGACTCCTGTTGTTGACTTAACAAATTGACACTCTTGTTTATGGCATCAGCAATCACCCTAGGCTCTTGTCATGGGTTGCCAAGGCTATGGAAGCCTTCTGAGCTTGCCAACTTCGATCTTATTCCGACAAGGTCATAGTCAAAGTGGAAGTTCTCTCCTCCCTTCAGAGAAAGGTACCTCCTTCTCTGATGACCTGTTCTTTCCACTGGGATCTCACTCGCAGAGATCTTTCATTTAGGTGTTTAGGTGTTGTTTTGTTTTATCCCAGAGTGTCTTGGCTTTCCATGCCTAAAATACTCTCCTGGGCTCTTCATCCAGTTTTGAATGCCTTAAGGGCTGATTCTGAGGCCAGAGTACTGTTTAGGACATCTGCCATTCTATGAGTCTGCTGTGTATCTCGCTTCCCATGTTGGATCGTTCTCTCCTTTTTGATTCTTTCAGTTAGTATTAGCAGACATTAGTCTTGTTTATGTGATCCCTTTGACTCTTAATCCTTTCATTATGATCAATTGTGAACAGAAATTGATCACTTGGTCTGGTGAGATGGCATTGGTACATGGCACTTTGATGGGTTAATCCAACATATTCTTCCAGTGTATTTGTTTGTCACTAATGAATATGAAAATAAAGCCAGGTAAATGTTACGCCCATTAAAATGGAATGAGACTGAGAACAGAATCCAAGAATTGTTTTGGAATAACTTGAAATAAGCTCGCATTATTAAGCATAAATGGAACATAAATATAATCAAGACTTAAGTATATTTTCACTCAAATAATATATAGAATGATAGAGTATTATTTAGGGGTTTCCAAATGTATTCTGGTTATAAACTTTATTCTTAGCACTTCTGATAACAGCATAAACCATATCATAGCCTGTGTTAAAATATGATAGCAGTTCTTAAGAATAAATACAACATTTTATTAATTCAATTCTGCAGACCTCCAATGATTGAGTCTTGACAGATAGTATAAGGTATTTTTTAAAAGATAAAAATGACATTTGCTATGATGAAGATTATTCCATGCAAATTCAAGCTAGTTTACTCAGGTGCATTTGGAATTTACCTTTGAAGGCTTTTAATTCTTCATGTAAATTCCAAAGATTCCTGGGTAGCATGGGCAAGACCTTTCATGTTGATGAATTGTGACATTCCCTAACTCGGTGATTTTCAACCAGGGGGAATTCTACACTCCAGGAGACATTTGGTAGTTGCTGGAGGTGTTTGCATTGTCACAATTGGAAGGATGCTTCCATGAATCTGCTAAACATCCTACAATACACAGGGCAGCTCCCCACACAGAATCATGAAATACAGAATACTTATAGTGCTGAGGTTGAGAACCCAAGACTGACTCAGTGAGTCCAAACATTTTAGGCTTTGCAATGGGCTTCTCTCCCTTCTCTTTGCCTCATTTCCACTCTTGATTCTCTCTGCCTCTTCCCATTACTCTCTAAAGTTCTAACAAGTCCCAATTGTTTTCCATTCTTTTTGCTCTTAAAATTAGTACTTTTTCTCCTTTGAAACCTAACATCTAATCTAATGTCTTTTTTAGGGAAACCAAGTATGAGAAATATTTATGGCATGGCACACTTAAGCATAATTAGTATCAGTCAGATTTCTTACAATACCAACAGATAATTGCCAAAGTTAGGCAAAATCTTTCCATTGAATGCCAGAATTGGTAAGAAATTCACAGAATTGAAAGTATTGAGTTAAACCCTCATGTTGAAATGGCAGTTTGTCAGCAGTGATGCTTACGTTGGTTAATTGATGGTGTGCTGTGGTTTAACTTGATGACTGTCTCACATGGGAGAAAATATCTGAGAGATTTAATGCAAAAATCATAGTCCAGGAGGAAATTCTTTGTACTACCCACTCTCCCTTCTACAGTGCTTTGTACACAGTACATTGTCCAAGGGTGACTGATTGATGGTAGAAACAGCTGTGTGGTTTAGGCATAAACTATGGACTGGAACACCAGAGCATCTTTAAATTATGTTTGTGATGCGTGCCCTCCCTGACTTCCCTCGGAGGCTGTGCTGAACTGAGTGTCGGAATAAACCTTACTGTGCCTCATATAGGATTCCCTATCCCAACTTAGTTATTTATCAAAACATCTTCAGAAGTTACATGTGTTCTACTGCTTTTGCCACAGTATTTTTTCTAGTTAATGATTTAATAAGAATCTGATCGTTTTATTTCATAAATATTATTTGGTGGACAGGAGATTTTCTGGAATTATTTTTCTGTTCTTTAATCTGTCAGAAAAGTCAATATTTAAACAAACTGCCTTTGTAGACACTTCAGTGCACTAAAATTTTGTACCTTTCAGAGATATTGCCTGAGCATATTTTATTTTTATAAGTATTAATACTTTGCTGTTAATGAGGGATAGACAGCCAGCCTTGAACTCTAGGAGTGAAAACAACCCCAAAACATGTAAAGTAGTGACAAGACAGGTATATCAGATCTTATAAAAACAACTGAAGCCTACATTATGAATTGGTTATAAATTCTGAAAGTACAAGAATGTAGACTTGATAAGGAATTTAATAAATTTAATAATAAATCGAATAATACATTTAATAAATATTTTGGAGGTAAGTTTGGAAGCAAACTTGTAAAGAATTAACTGAAGGTGAATAGTTTTGACACATTTTATTCAAACTATTTTATTTTGGAAAATTTCAGATGTATGTAAAGGAGGGAAAAAATACAAGTGTACCAGTCTTGCCGCAGTTGGCTGCTATTCCTCTTGGTACTATTACAGGTGCATTTAAGGTCAATCCCAGACTTCATTGTGGTCAGATGTGCCTAACTAAGTGCACATCTTTAATGGACGTTTTCATCCAGGCAGTAATTCCATAATCACAGCCAAACAAAATCACTAACTCTGTTTTCTCATCATACCTAGCCTTGAAGGTATATTCTAATTGGAATATACACAAAGTACACCCAGGCATTACACTTAGTTAAGTCTCTTAAAGCAACATTTTCTTTGATTTATGTTTAGCCTTTTTTCCAAAGTTAACATTCTGTGTAATTTTCTAACATTATTTGGCAGAAACACCCTTTTCTCACTCTGCTTCTATCATTTATGCCATGTGGGATGGAAAAGGGAGGCAGTTATGTTGTTGTTCTAAGAAAATCCTGTGTAATAGACATCCATAATCTCCTGATGTTTTCACTTCCATATCTGCCACTTTGGTGAACTTGACACATGTGAATTACGTTATGGGATCTAGGAATCATTGCAGTTACCTCAAATATTTCTCAAGTCCAGAGCCTTGGAAAGAGGAGCCATGAACGCAATTTGAAAACTATCACCAGGCTGTTTTATTCTTGTCTATAACTTCACTTTATTCTAGCTAAATGTCTTTCACTGATAATATCATGCAGGTCTCTCATATATTGTGTACAAAGGAGGACATGTAGACAAGGAAACAAAACATTTTCAGTAAGTCAGTATGCTTACAACAGTCACCTTTTTGAGGGTGAGTTGATAAAGCATTTCAATCATGAAACTCCTGCAGAAAGATATCTAGTCTTACCATGAATATACTAACTTAAGTCAGAAACAATGATGTACTTCTTTGCAAAATATAGTCTTAGTCTCTTAAGGAATAGAAGAGTCACAGTGTGTTTCTATGATACAAGGTTTTCATAGCTTGAGACTGAAACCTTGGAATGTAAAAGAGATGACAGAGAAATATTTTTTAAAAAAAATGATAATTCCAAAGTCATTAGTTTTTTAATAGTTAAGTCATCAGTTCTGACCATCATAAACAGTCCCTGTAAATATTTACTTTTAATTACAGTATATAAATGATCTCGTGTTGCCAGAAATGGGTGATACAGGAGAGCCAATGGCAGGATTTTATGAGGGTTCAGCCGAAATATCTTCTGACCTGTACTCAATTGCTTCATTCATATACAATGATCATCTACATAATGACATTCCTCCAAGAAGCAGAGCTGAAGAGCAGACTTCACCAGGTGGTAGGTAAAAATTTGATTTTATGTGTGTTGTATTTAAACCACCAGTGCTGGCTAGCAAAGATATGAACCTTAGCTTAGAGTTCAACCATATTATTAATGGTCCATGGGCTGGAGTAAAATTTTTTTTTTTAACTGTTGGATAACCTCAGGCAGCAAATGGAAATGCCACACAGGCAGGAGCTGGCCCCTCCTAACCCATTTGACCTTCTTCCTAGAGAAAGTAGCACCCTAGAGTCTCTGGCCAAGCTGCATAGACAATCAGTTATTACAGTTGCCAAAGCAGGTGTGATGGGAAGGGATTAACATATCTTCAAATCATTTACAGCCCTCACACTCTCTACATCTTTTGACTAATAGGTTTTCAAATGTCACCGGAGGTAAATAGGTCAGAAAGTTACAACTTCAGTGCATGGGGGATAAACAGGTGTAGGTGACCCCAACGACGTGGTGATGTCATTAGCGTGTACACTTGCTCTTCTGGGTCAGTGGGTCTTACTGTTTCTAAAAAGAGAATGTTGCATATGAGAACTTAAAAATACTAGGGTGGATAACACGGATTTGTGTTAACTTTCTGGTTTTATAAAGTATTGATCAAGAGGAATATTTTATTTCATGTTTGTCTTCTGATTTGGCATTTGTTTCAGTCAACATTTAAAGGATTTTATTGTTCTATTTGTGGTAGAATAAGTTAAAAATCACAGTCTTTTAATATCTGTTTATTTTGCTGTCTGTTTTTCTAATGCAAAGAAAATTGGAGTAACACTGAAAATTAAGAGGTCCATGATTTATGAGACACATGTTTCTTTAAATGTTTCAAATTTGGCCCAATTGCTGAGTAAGAGGTTTAGAAGAATGAATTTTAAATATAGTAAAAATCTAACATTGGAACTCTTTGTTCACATATATTAATGTGTCAGTTATCCAAGTATGCCTGCTTTAAAGAGTTATTTGGTTTTGTGAATGAATGGTAGATTTTGAGTCCAAAAATACTCTCATTTCTATAACTCTACTATTGAAACCTGGAATTGATTTATATAGTTTTCTAGTCTGTCTTTTCAGAAAAAAATTCCTAGCCAGTGTCTTTTTTAAAAAAAGTTATATTTTCTCAAAATGCTAATCTCGTATTCTTCAGTGGTGTAAAACAGTTCCCAAAGTTATATGGGGGGGGCATAAAATGTTTATAAATATTGCAGGACCATCAGAATTCAGACTCAGCATGATCTTCAACATCAATGCCTTTATATTTAACATTAATTACACATCTGCATATGGAGAAATTAATAACGTAAAATCAGGTTTGAAATTTCACTGTGTGAGCAAATATAATTTTGATTTTGAAGACAAAAACCTTTTTTCTTAACTGATTTTCAATAGTGACTACAAGGAATCAGTACATCACAGACATTTCTGCTGAACAGCTGTCTTATGTTATCAGGAAGCTTGTACCTTTCACTGAGCACATGATTAGTGTATCTGCTTTCACCATCATGGGAGAAGGACCACCAACGGTTCTCAGTGTTAGGACACATGAGCAAGGTAAGAATGTATTTCCTTTGAAGCGATTACCTGCCAGAGCTGCTCATGCACACTGGCATGCTTTTTTTGTTTTATTCATATTAATCATTCATTCTTCTTTTCAAGTGCCAAGCTCCATTCAAACTATAAACTATAAAAATATTAGTTCTTCATCTATTTTGTTATATTGGGATCCTCCAGAATATCCCAATGGAAAAATAACTCACTATACAATTTATGCAATGGAACTGGATACAAACAGAGCGTTCCAGATGACGACTGTAGATAACAGTTTTCTCATAACAGGTAGAGCAAAAAGTTTGTGTTTTTTACTTTCTGTTCTGTTGGAAAATATTCCAGATTTGTTCTGTGTTGCCATGGGTATTCATGAAAACACTTGCAGAAATAGCTTGATTAACAGTGTTCTTTGATTATATTTATCCACAAAGAAATAAAAAGCATCAGATCACTAGTTTCATAGAAATCTCCTTCACCCAGGGGACATTCTATCTGGTACATCAAAACAGTTCATTATGGAAGACTTGGATTAACAAATGTAAAAGTTTGCTGAATGAAATAATTCAACTGGTGTGATATTTGTGCCAAGTCACCTACACACATTGCAGTGTGCCAAAAAATTATTTTTCAGTTTTGGATTATTGCCTTCATATTTTAGGAATTCACGCAAACATCATCAACATGGAAAGCCTCTCAAACCAAGGAATTTCGGGAGACAGGGATTATGTGGAAGCTGATACAGATGACTAGTCCACTGAATATCAGTTATTTTCACTAGTCCCTATGTTAAATGCCGTTCATCCAAGAATGTTATTTTAAGGACTTTAAACATGTTCCTTGTCCTTCATAGGGTTAAAGAAATACACAAAATACAAAATGAGAGTGGCTGCCTCAACTCATGTTGGAGAAAGTTCTTTGTCTGAAGAAAATGATATATTTATCAGAACTCCAGAAGATGGTAAGAGATAGCAGGTGCAGTTTTAGTAACGACAGTAGAAGTGGTGTGCTACGTGCTTATTTCCTCTATGTCAGGCAGAGTCTGATGCAAGATGCATGAAAACAGTACATGTACTTAAATTCTGTTTTCTTCTCTCAGAACCAGAATCATCACCTCAAGATGTGCAAGTAATTGATGTTACTGCAACTGAAATAAGGCTCAAGTGGTCACCACCTGAAAAACCCAATGGGATTATTGTCGCATATGAAGTGCTCTATGAAAATAGGGATACTTTATTAATGAAGAACAGCTCAACAACAAACATAATTTTAAGGGACTTAAAGCCTTATACCCTCTACAATGTCTCTGTAAGGTCATACACCAGGTTTGGTCATGGCCATCAGTCATCTTCGGCCCTCTCTGTAAGGACTGCTGAGACTGGTAAGCTTGGTTGGTTGGTTTGTTCATTTGCCTAATGATACAAAATGATGTAGTAAGTCTAGCTGACAAGGGTGATTTTGTTTATATATTTTATAACCTAAAAACTGTCATTCTCTTTTGTATAATCCAGAATTTGGTCTTTTCCTGAAAAAAGTGTGGAGAAAGGCTTTTTATGCAATTTTTAAAAGTGTGATTTTTATATAAAGGGACTCCTAATAAAAATCAATACATTTTTCAAAGACAGGACCTTGAGAAACCAGAGTCTTTCATTGTGAGTTTTGGGTTGAATACCTGCTTTCTTCCTTTTTTTAAAATTTATTTACTTATTTGAAAGGCTGAGTTACAGAGAGGCAGAGACAGGCCAGGGAGGGGAGGGAGAGAGGAAGAGAAGAGGAGAGAGGGAAGGAGAGACAGCACACTGGTTCAGCCCTCAAATGCCTGCAATGACCATGGCTGAAGTTCAAGTTAGGGACTCAGTCATGGTCTCCTGTGTGGGCAAAAGGAACCCAATTACTTGAGCCATTACCCGCTACCTCCTAGAGCATGCATTTATGGGAACCTGGAATCAGGAGCAGAGCTGAGACTCCAACCCAGATATTCAGCTATGTGATACACAAGTCCCAAGCCGTGGTTTAATTTCTTGTCTAAACTCCAACTCAGGTACTCTGATGTAGAATGCATATATAAAAAGCAGTGGTTTAACTGACTGGCCTGGATCTCAATGAGGATAGAGAAATGGCCAGGGCGCTATCATAGAGGCTGTTGAGTGGGTAGTGAGGGGCTATCTCATCTGAAGAGAACAATGCTAGCAAGAATTTATCTATGATTTTGTTTCTATGATGGTAGGGCAAATAGCACAAAATAAGGTATGATGGCACTTCCAAAAATTTTAGAAAAATGGAATTAAAATGTAAGTTGATTTTGGTGCAAAGAAGCATTGGTGTTCATGTATATTTTTTACATCGTAAACATTTTCCATGAACTTTTTCAATAACTTTTGTATTTTGCCTGATAATCATAATTTATTGTTTGTGAACATATTTTTGAGGTATAATTATTAGGCCCATTCTTCAAGATAACCTGAAAAAGAACTAAGTGCAAGGTTAGTGTTTTATCCGCACATTTAAAAGAGCATTAAATATTTATTTATTTATTGACTAGCTACTGGATGAACTCTATGAAACTGCTCTTTCTGTAGACTAAAAGTGGCCAGTATCAGCAATTCCAGATTGTTCAGCCAGATAGTACGTGTGAGGTTCTGTCCTTGACCCTGAGGATCTGGAAATCTGATAAAGCAGATTATCTTCGATTAAAAACATCCACTTGAGACTGTGCACTGGAGCTAATACAATGAGATGACACAAAAGCCCCCATAGAGATTGGGCAACATTTGTAATTGAAGGAATAAGAGATGATATATTATCATCAGGATTTCCCTTCACACTGAAACTTAACTATGTATTGGCATGCTTCTGTGTTTTTATGGATGTGACACCTAAAATCAGCATTTTTGAGTAAAGCATCTTCTCTTTAGTGAATTAGTTTATTTTTACTTTTTATTCATATAAAGGGGGAAAATTTCACGTATTTCATATATTCAGTTTTAAGAGCATAATGATATTTCCCACCTTACCCTCCCTTCCTCCTTCCTTCACTTCCACCTTCCTCCTCTTCATTTTTCTTTTAATGTTTTAAAGATTTATTTATTTGAAAGGCAGAGAGAAAGAGAAATCAATCTTCCATCTGATGGTTCACTCCCCAGATTGCAGCAACTGCTGGAGCTGGGCCAGTCAGAAGCCAGGAGCCTGGAGCTTCATCTGGGTCTCCCTCATGGGTGCAGGGGCCCAAGCACTTGGGCCATCTTCCGTTGCTTTCCAAGGCCATTAACAGAGAGCTGAATCTAAGTGGAACAGCCAGGACTCACAGGTGCCCATATGGGATGCTGGCATCACAGATCAACTTATGACATCGGGCCTTGAACTTCTGCATGACTCCAAATCTTCTTCCAACCATAGCAAGGCGTGACAGCGGCAGGAGTCAGGTGCTTCCTCCTGGTCTCCCTTGGTGCAGGGCCCAAGGACCTGAGCCATCCTTCACCTGCTACCACACCGTGCTGGTCCCTCTTTTAATATTTACAATGGCATATTTCCACTATACTTTATAATCACAAACTTAATCCTCCACTCAATAAAGAATTCAACAAGTAGTAAGTAGAAAAACCACTATTCCTCAGGAGTAGAGACAAGGGCTATAAACAGTAATCAAATCTCAAAATGTCATTTTCGTTCCTACATGTAACATTTTTTCGTACTCTTCCCAAACTCCCGCTATGAGAGCAGCTTCACCTTAATTCCAAAACCAGGAAAAGAGAAAGCAAAGAAGGAGAACTATGGACCAATATCCCTAATGAACATAGTGACTTGGTGTTATTCCAAACCAGGAAATATAATGAAATAAACATAACTTGAGTACCTGCTAAGTACCATGTCTCTGCTGAGGGCTTTCATTCATGTTGTCTTTTTCATTGTAAAAGCCTAAGTTGTTATCTGCATTGTGTATGGAAAACATGAAGCTCTGAGAGGTTCATCTTTTCAAAAAGTATTTATGCCAGACCCTGCTGGGGATGTGGCAGTATAGAGAAGATTATTTCTGCTATTTTATATTAATTGGTAGTTGTTTAGTTGCTTAAGGATACTCAGCTGGGAAGTGCTGAGGCTGCAGTGTCAGCTCAAGCCCGTCTGGGTGTACAGACTCTCCTGCTTTCTTAGTATCTGCTGTCTCACAAGACATCAGCTAACCTGATGGATTATAACATAGATCTAGGATCTCTCTGTTGATTCTTTTAGTGATATGTTGTGGTTTGGGTCTGTACAGCAAGAGGAAGGAAATACACCTTTCAAAAAACAGTAATACCCATCAGAGTTCCTGCTGTGATATTACACAATCACCATAATCATGAATGCTTATCAAACTATACAACACAAGTGATCATTGCATGAGCAACACCATGTTTTAATGATGAATTATAAAACAATTTTGTTTTAAATGCAAATAACTTTTACCTTTTAGTGTTGAAAAAGTGAATTTAATTTCCATTCCATTATTTGTTGTACTCTAAAGCTAGGACAATAAAACTTAAGTGAATATAAGAATTTAATTTGATATGTAATTTTAATGAGAATTTTAGTTTCGGAAATTATTCTATAGAACCTCTTAATGTATAGATGAGGAACTTCGGAGTTATTTGAGTTAAATAACTCATAAGCCACAGTTGATGACAGGTGGAGTTGGAGCTTGATTGTAGGCCTCCTGGCTCCCATTTCAGGGCTGGTTTAATAGTTCCAAGGCTGTCTAGAAAAATAAAGAGAATAGGGAAAGAACATATCCCAGGGCTTGCTAGTTCCCCCATTTAGGTGAAAATTATCAGTTATTTTGACACTTATACTCTTCAGAAACCAGAGGCCTCACACTACAGGGTTCAGTGCTCATCCCCCTACTTTCTAGTTTTCTACCCTAAATTAGGGTAGTCTCAAAAGTCTGTGTGTTTTCCATCTGGGTGGAGACGGGAGACAATGGAGTCCACATTATGGCTTTTCCACTTCATGTTTGCCACTACTGAGCCACCAAATTTAGCTCCTTTGCTGAAAGAGGAAGCTAGAGGTTTTTTGTTTTTTTGCTTTTAAGATTTATTTATTTATTTGAAAGGCAGAGATCAGAGAGGCAGAGGCAGAGAGAGAGCAAGAGAGAGGTCTTCCATTCACTGCTTCACTCCCCAGATGGCCACAACTGCTGGAGCTGTGCTGATCTGGAGCCAGGAGCTTTTTCCAAGTCTCCCACACAGGTGCAGGGCCCAAGGACTAGGGCCATCTTTTACTGCTTTCCCAGGCCATAGCAGAAGAAGCTAGGGTTTTAAGCAGTTTCAGGGTGTCATTTGGAGCAGGATGTATTCAAGAACAACTATTTGTCTCTACCCACAGTTTAAAAATCTTAGTAAATATTATGAATACATCTTATGAAATTACTTGTTCAATACCTCATCTTGTTTAGAGAACCAGAGTTCATTAATGCTTGGAAGTAAAATACTCTCCGTGTTCAAACAGGAAAGATCAGTTTGGGGTGGGGGAGGGAAGGAGGGAGGGAGGGAGGGAGGAATTCTGTATGAGTGTATGTTTGGTGCAGGTGTTTGCATGTGTTTTAATCAGAGTGTGCAATTTATAAGCAAACTTGAGGATAGTTTTATTTCTATAGTTCAGGTGCAGTAATGACAAAATTAATTACTTTTGTAAAAAAGTAACAAAATTAAAAGCCATTACAAAAATAACTCTAAGAAGTTCTATTTCAAATTATCCTTTCAGTGACCTATAGATATTCTCTCTCCTTTTTTGAGACCTAATTTTCTTTACGGAAATTCTTTAACCAAATATTTTAAACGTTTATGATTTTAGGCAACAGTTACTAGTGAGTAGTAAGTTAAATGTTGGCTAAAATTCGTGTACAATTCTATAAATTCATTTGTGTTTCCAAGTAGCATTTTTTAGTTTCTCTATATATATTAAAGTCATATGTACTGAACAAAAAATCTTCTTGCATACTCAAGGTAACATTCCTTTAGTATCATCATAAACTAAATTATTTACTTTACTGTTAGATAGGTTTACCTTATTCCAACTGATTATAATCATTATTTTATTCATAAGAGATCCACTTTATAAAAATTCAAATGATTGGAAACACTCTTCGTGCTAATGTAGAAAATCCTAAGTGCACTCTCACTCTTTAAACCTGTGAGTCATCAAGCCTTTCCTGCTTTATCTGCATGGTGATCTAGCGCTGGGTGTGCCCTAAAGATAAATTAATAAAGGTGCAAAGGACATCATGGGGGAGTGGCGGGGGCAGAGTTGAATATTTATATCCTGACTACTGTAGATGGTAGACAAGCAACTTGAGAGGAGCAGTTAAAATTCCAATGAGAGTTTTTTTCAAAATCATAAAATTATACTGTTACAAAAATTTGTCTTGTAATAAGAATATTTCAATCCAGCCTTATTTGAGTTTATCTCTTATTCTCAATATATTCTATGTCACATTGACTATATTTGTTCATTCCTAAACAGATTACACACAGACACACTCACACATGCTCAAACACACACACACACACGCGCACACAGGCTGTCAGGCAGTGAAAATGATCCATTTGAGATTATACTTTTTTTATTTTTTTAAATTCTTTTTATGACAGGCAGAGTGGACAGAGAGACAGACAGAAAGGTGTTCCTTTTCCGTTGGTTCACCCCACAATGGCCACCGCAGCCGATACGCTGCAGCCAGTGCACTGCGCTTATCGGAAGCCAGGAGCCAGGTGCTTCTCCTGGTCTCCCATGCAGGTGCAGGGCCCAAGGACTTGGACCATCCTCCACTGTACTCCCAGGCCACAGCAGAGAGCTGGACAGGAAGAGGAGCGACCGGGACAGAATCCGGCACCCCGACCGGGACTAGAACCCTGGGTGCTGGCGCCGCAGGCGGAGGATTAGTGAGCCGCAGCGCCGGCCGAGGTTATAAATTTAAGTGAGACTAGTCAGTATGGAGTCACTTGTATTTGTATAATTTATCTACATTTCTAAATTTATTAGTATTAGCTTTTTATATGCATTGTATTTAGAATACTAAGTTTAAATAGTTTAATTCCTTTTTTAATAGAAAAAAATCTTTTTATAGGACTCCATAATAATGTTTATATCACAACTTCTCTTCCCAAATTGGTCTTTATTATTATTGTCTTATGCAAGTGTTTTTTTTAAACATTATCTTAGCAACTGTGGTTTATTGTCTGAGGTAAATATTTTCTACCTAAAGTGAATTGCTTACAATTGTATCTATTGAGAGTGTGTTGATGATATTGTCTCAGTTTTTGATTCTCTGAATGTTTTGACTTTACTTTTGTTTGTCTGGGTATAGAATTGTATTTTTTAATTGATTTCAATTGTCTATCTGATTGTCATTCTTATGTAGATAATCTGTCTTCCTTACGATGCTAGTAAGATCTTCTGTCCTTTGATATTCTGTATTTTCATAATGATGTTACTAAATATGATATATATATTTTTAAAAATTTCCACTTAAGAATTGTTGAGCTTCTTTGAAGTTTGATAATTTTCAACAGTTTTTATTCATCTGCATCTCTCAACTGCCTGAGTTGAGAGGCTTATGTTTTTCATAATTTTTTTGCACTATGTTCTGGATAATTCCTTCAATACTGCCATCCTTTGAACTAAATTTCCTCTTCACTTCTATCCAACCTGCTCATTATAAACATTAAGAGGATTGTTGTTTCTGTTCCAGGAAGCCTCTCTGTATCTCTTTCAGTCTTGTATGGTGATTTACATTATTTGTCATTGATTAAAGAATTTTTGTTCACATTTTAAGAATACATATGATTTCTTGAAATAAGATACACATTTGTGTTTTATTGTTGGATTTCAACATCTGAAGTTTTTGACATCTGACTGCTTGGTGTGTGTGTGTGTGTATGTGTGTGTGAAGGAGTGTATTTGTGTTATTCTGTCTTTGTTGACTTTCCCTATAATTGATTTATATGATCAGTGATTGAAGCTTTCTCTGTGAGAAATTGTTTGGTTTGAATTGAAGTTGAATTCCTCCAGACAGGATTGGTATTCACTCCTTATAGTTAGTTGCTTTGGAGCAGTGGCAACTCAGGACTTCAGTTTCACTTTAATTAATTCTGAAGCAGAAGATTTTTCAGCAAATGTGCTGGTATCAGGGATTTGGGCCAGTGTGCTCATGGGATAGGCTTGAAATCCCAAAGCATTGCAGTTTTGCTGTCTTTTCCATCTGTGCACTCAGAAGAATGGAAGGATACTTCTTTCCTGTGCTCTCTGCATGCTGGGTTTATCCTCACACTCCATTCCCTGAGAATGAATGAATCACTTCACGCAAGTCTGGAAGTTACTACACAAGTGGAAATCTCTGGTACCTCAGAAGAATTCAAGGTGTCCCAAAGAATTGTCCAATGTTGTGGCCTTAGTTGAAGTTGTGTCTTTCTGGGATTCCAGCTCTTCATGTGGGTGTATTGCTTGTCAATCAATTGTCCTGGGACGTTGTATTTCTCTGTCCCTCTACAGAGATGATAATAAATACTACTCAGCTGTCAAAACAATACAACCAGGGCTGGCGCTGTGGCATAGAGGGTAAAGCCACTGTCTACAATATTGACATCCCATTTGGGTGCCAATTCAAGTTCTGGCTGCTCTACTTCTGACCCAGCTCTCTGCTATGGCCTGGGAAAGCAGTGGAAGATGGCCTAAGACCTTGGGCCCCTGCACCCATGTGGGAGACCCGGAGGAAGCTCCTGGCTCCTATCTTTGGATGGGCGCAGCTCCAGCTGTTGCGGCCAATTGGAGAGTGAACCATTGGATAGAAGATCTCTCTCTTTCTCTCTCTTTCTCTCTTTCTCTCTCTGTAGCTCTAACTTTCAAATCAATAAACAAACCTTTTTTAAAAAATAAGTAAACAAAACCTGATCTTTTTGCAACAAAATGTCTGCAAGTGGAGACCATGATGCTTAGTGAAATAAGCCAGTCCAAAAAAGACATACTGTATGTTTTCCCAAATGTCACATATATGAGCGAAACTGACATTTTGTGATAGCCCCTGCCTATACTTCTGATTTTTCTTACTACTTGTTGAATTATTGATTCAGTGGAGGGTTAAGCTTGTGATTATAATATAAATTGAAAGTATGTCTTTGTAAAAAGTAAAAGAAAAATAAGAAAGGGAGGAGGTGGGAGTAATGGAGGATAGGTGGGAAGTATCTTTATGTTCTTAAAACTGTGTATGTGAAATAAATAAAATTTGGTCCCTTTACATATAAAAAAAGAAATGCTAAGTCACCAAGACTAACCAAGACTCTCCAAGACAAAGTTGGCTTTAGTGTCAAGCTTTTGTCTGTTTGTAGTTTTCAATTTTATTTATTTCTTTGACCACTAGTGATTTCTAGCTTTTCACTTATGTGGTTTCTTAAAGGAAATTTGTTTTAATGCTAAATAGAGGTTTAGTTATTTTAAGAAAGATATTTATTCAGTTTAGGTTTTCTTTTTCAACGTTTTGCCAGGATTGAAATCTCAAATACAGTTTCTGTACTTGAGTAGACAGAGAAAACCATTTTATAAACATAGTATGCAGTACCACAAAGACATTATTAGGTACAGAAAACTAGTATTTTAAGTGGGATATCCTGTCCTTAGGAGAAGTTTTTGCGGCCAGGTTATAACATGCAGCCTCATTTCTCTGGGGGATTCTTTGCCTTGCCTTTACCTTATGGTGCAACAAAACTAACCTGCTAACAGCTATATACTACATTACTGATGGGAAGAATTAATTTTTAAGTGTTTTTCAATTCTTTTTCCTGCACCTCCATGTTCTGCTATACAAGGAAGTCTATTACAGTCTCAAGTTCTTTAATAAAACTATCATTCTATAAATGTTACTCTGTAGAATCAAAGTATTAATTTTCCTTTGTGGTGAAATTTTATCCTATACAGCTATAAATGTTGATCTATACTCTACCCCGTTTAGCATGTTTGTGATGACCACAGCCTAAGTAAGATATGTATATAAGTGATCTAGTGTACTGGGCTGAGGACTTCAGCAGAATGGATTTTTAGAAGCTGTTCTATGCCTTTATCTTTTTGTTTTCTCTAGTACCTGATAGTGCACCAGAAAATATTACTTACAAAAATATTTCTTCTGGAGAGATTGAACTCTCATTTCTTCCTCCAAGTAGTCCCAATGGAATCATACAAAAATATACAATTTATCTCAAGAGGAACAATGGAAATGAAGAAAGAACTATAAATGCAACCTCTTTGACCCAGAACATTAAAGGTAAAAGAGCAAATCTAAAGTTAAATCTTAATATGGACAATGAGGCTGCAAAATATTAGCTTAATTTTCTGTTGTAAATTGTTTGAGATTATTTTCAAAAAAATACGACTATTCTGACTTTTTTAAAAAATAAGCTAAGGACTCAGTGAAAAAACACTGTGGGTCAATCCGTTTCCACATTATCTGATATCATTTTGAAGTTACTGTTGCCAAAGAATATGTTTTCTTTAATTTTAACTTGGGAAAGCTTGTTGAGAGCCATTTCATGGTTGGTTTCTGGCACATTCTGAAATGATATTCTGTAAGCATCCACTGATTTATTTTCTTTGTATTTAGGATTGAAGAAATATACCCAATATTTGATTGAGGTGTCTGCTAGTACCCTCAAAGGTGAAGGAGTTCGGAGTGCACCAATAAGCATACTGACTGAGGAAGATGGTAAATACAGTAGTCAATATTCATGTATTATTCATTATTATATCCATTATTCCATAATGCCTTAAGGAACATGACAATACAATAGAAATTGAGGTACAAATTCCCATAAGTGGGGGTATTGGTCATGTACCATGTCAGTGTCAAACAGACTTCATTATCACAGTGAAAAAGAACTAGCAAAGTCAAATTGCCATTAATGAAATCAGGTAATCGGTAATAAAATGTTCTTTTTACCGCTTCTGAATTCATTAGTACTCTAACAAAATCAGCAATATTTTTCCATGTGAATTTTTAAGGCAAACATTTCCTTTGAATATTTGAAACAGGCTTCTTGCCCTCAGAGAGCTTGTCATTTTTTAGAAGATGTTCAAATTAGTATATATTGTGGCAGTTTCTAAGTTTTAAACTCCTAAGAATAGAAATCTGTATTACTTTGACTGGATTTTGTTTCTGCCAACTTTCAACACATCTCAGTATTATGATTAGCTTCATAATAAATTCAGACTATTTTCCAGGTTTCTTAAAGCAGTCAATGTGCTATTCCTGAATATTAATAGTCTTCATATTGAATACTTAAACTATATTTTCCTAACCTATATAGAAGGAATTTTATAACCAAGACCAATTTACTTTGCTACCTTACCAAATTATAGGAGTACTTATGCCATGAATATTATTTTTGAGTGATATACTTGAGTTAGGATTTGCATTTTGTATTTCTTTTTTCTTTTTCTTTTTCTTTCTTTCTTTTTTTTTTTTTTTTGACAGGCAGAGTGGACAGTGAGAGGGAGAGACAGAGAGAAAGGTCTTCCTTTGCCGTTGGTTCACCCTCCAATGGCCGCCGTGGCCGGCGCACTGCGGCCGGCGCACAGCGCTGATCCGATGGCAGGAGCCAGGTGCTTCTCCTGGTCTCCCATGGGGTGCAGGGCCCAAGCACTTGGGCCATGCTCCACTGCACTCTCTGGCCACAGCAGAGAGCTGGCCTGGAAGAGGGACAACCAGGACAGAATCCGGCACCCCGACTGGGACTAGAACCCGGTGTGCCGGCGCCACAAGGCAGAGGATTAGCCTAGTGAGCCGCGGCGCCGGCCGCATTTTGTATTTCATACATAGTATTCTTTTAAGATTTATTTGTTTATTTGAAAGGCAGAGTTACAGAGAGGCAGATGGGGATGTCTTCTGTCCACCGGTTCACTCCCCAGATGGCCACAATGGCCAGAGCTGCACCAATCCAAAGCCAGGAGCCAGAAGCTTCTTCTGGGTCTCCCATGTGGGTTCAGGGGCCCAAGGACTTGGGCCATCTCCTGCTTTCACAGGCTATAGTGAAGAGCTGGATCATAAGAGGAGCAGCCAGGACTTGAACTGGCACCGGTATGGGGGTATGGGATGTCCCCACTATAGGTGGCAGCTTTACCTGCTACACCACAGAGCAGGCCCCAAGAGTATATTTTGAAAGAGTTATTTTCTCATATTTAAAAGAAATTCCTGTCACCATGATGACTGGATTAGATGTATCTTAACTGTGGGTTATCTTTTCATATTTTTATTTATTTGAGAGGGGAGACAGGAGATATGGGGAGAGAGAGGAGGAGGGAGAGAGGGAGGGAAGTGAGTAGGGAGGGAGAAAGGAAGAGGGAGAAATGAATGAGAACAAGTAAAAAACACCCCAACCACTGATTCACTCCCCAAATGCCTAGGATCCTGAAACTTAATCCACGCCCCTGACAAATGTGACAGGGATCCATGTACTTGAGCCATCACTGCTAACTCCCTGGATTCAAATTAGCAGGAATCTGGAAGCAGAACATGGACTTGAACCTAGGCACTGTGAAATGGGATGCATTTGTCCCAGTAGCAAGTGTCTTAACCCTTGTGCCAGCTTCCTACTGTGATTGTTGTTATTTTTCCCCTTCTCTTTCCAGTTTCCAGTCTGGTACCAAGTTTCCAAGTGTGATACCTCCATGAGTTAGTCTTCCCTAGTTATTGCCTCTACTTAATTATGCTTACGTCTTCATTCAAAATTATGTGACTGATTTTTTTTAATTGATAGATTCTCCTTGCTCTCTAGGTGAAAATTAATAGATTATTTCCAGTAGGTCAGTGATTAAAGGCTAGGTGTCCTTTCTATCTAACAGAACATCTAAGGTAAGATGTATTATATCATTTTAGCAACATTCTTCTGGTAATAGTGCCCACGTCTTTATTTCTAATTTAATCAAATATCCTAATGGCAAGAATTTGAGATTGTATGTGAAAGAATAAGACACATAGCAAACACACTCACATATTTTGAGCAGGTAGAGCTTTTACCACTCAGCCAAGAGTCTGACATTGTACAAATTATACATCTAATCACCTGGGCTAATCAGAATAGAATCTCCAGATAAATCGCCATCTAAGGTCTTGGTCAAGTTATAATCACCCAGGACACGGTGAAAAACCAGACTCCCTCACAACACACAGAACAAATTGAGAATGGAGAAAAGCCTGACAACGTTTGCTTTATTGAATCTTTGGAAGTGCTTGTCTTCCCGGAGTTTGCAGTTAAGTAGGAGAGACAAATTTGACCAATGTGTAGGCCAATATTTTTTATAATCTAAATTACGGATACAAGTGTCTCCAAGAGTCATTCTCCAGGACAAAAGAGGGATCTATGCTGCCCTGGGGAATTAGGGGAAGTGTAGCTGTTGAAGTAGCTGTGACCTGAAACAATATGGGCAAAAAGGGTGGGAGAGGGGCCAGAGCTGTGGCTTGACAGGTAAAGCCGCTGCCTGCAGTGCTGGCATCCCATATGAGTTCTGGCTGCTCCACTTCTGATCCAGCTCTCTGCTACAACTGGGCCTGGGGAAGCAGTAGAAGATGGCCCCGTGTCCTTGGGCCCTTGAACCCACGTGGAAGACCTGGAAGAAGCTCCTGGCTTCAGCCAGCATGGCTTGGGTGGTTGCGGCCATCTAGTGAGTGAACCTGGGGATGAAGACTTCTCTCTCTCTGCCTCTCTGTAACTCTGCCTTTCAAATAAGTAAATAAATAAATCTTTAAAAAAAAAAAGTGGAGAGAGGGAATAAAGACAGTGCTAGGAAGAGGTCATAAAGAGCTTCATGTACCCCTTCTCACCCATACTCGGATACTCTGGCACAATGAATTGAATGGCTTGTAAAGTTGTAATTTTCCCAATTTCATTTTTAAGGATTCAAATATCAAAGTGATTAGAATAGTCTGCTACAGTGGATAGGCAATGTTTATTTTAGATGGGCATAAAGCATATTGTAGAATAGAAATGCTTAGCTGCAACATACTAGTTTTCAAATCAGCGCTAATTTTGATTGAGGTTTTTCTCTTGATAATAAGCCAAAGTTAGATTTTACAAAGATGCTAAGAAAAAATATTTATAGGCTTTTGCTTTGAAAAATGAGAGAATTCTCGGAAGTAATTCATCTCTTGGGAAACAGGCATAGCTAAGTGATGAATGAATTCTTGGGATGATCAATATTCAGTAGCACTTTTATTGTAGTGCCAGTGAAAATAACAAAATGAAAATACCAAATACAGCTGTCACCATTATTCCTTAGAACTCATCTCATAAATCCTTCTCTGCTTAATAAACTCATTGGGAAAATTGTTACTAAAGTAATAAAAATACAGACACGCCAATATACACACGGCAATAGCTGAGATTACACAGAGAAACAAAAGGAAATAGAAACAATGCAGGTAACATTTCCAGCCAATGATTGGAAATAGCTGTGGATGAAACATAGATAAATAAATGAACATTGCTTAAAGATTTGGACAAATAATCAGGTTATCTGTTAACTACCTGTCAGTTCACTTTTCGTGTATACCTTTAACAATGAACAAAATTCTACTAAGTTATATTTTTATATGACAAAGTCATATTCTGATATTTTAAGACATTACTGCTACATTCTCACAGTAGCCAAGAAATGCCATTCTAAGTATTTTTGTCTAAATTAAAATATAAACAGGGCTCATGGTTTGCAGTATGTTATTCACTGCTTATTCAATGCAGAATTACTGAAGTACTACTATTCTCTTACACTGCTACACAGAATTACAAGTAGATCCTAAATTACTGTCTCATTTATGTGCTACATTGGTGATTCCTTTGTAAACCATTCGGTTTTGAAGACTCAGTGAACAGATTTTTATATTACTTTAAATTTAATGGGACAGCTGAAACTGAGGAATGTAGTTTTCATTTGTGAGGTCCTTCGTTTTCGCTGCTCTCCTGATATTATGTTGATCTCCTTCCCGCTTTTTGAATGTCTCATTTTTTTTCTAATACTTTTTCTTATCTGGGAAATTATGTTTTTGTTTTTATTAGAGTAAGATAATTTACTGAGATGATCTTGAACAGTAGGTGAGTCACTGTGACATACCCCTTGTTCTATTTTCTCATGAAATATTTTTTTCCATTGAATCACAGAAACAGATGTTCTCACACCACCATGCAAAATCTTCCTTTATCATCTCATTTTGAAAATAAACAAGTAGACTCTCTGCCTGTGGAGAAGAGCACTGACCAAACATGATACATTTACCAGAAATTTTATAGTACCACAGTTGCATATATACTTTTTAATGTTTTCTTGTATATATTTAATAAAATGCATAATTCTATACCCTAACTTTTCAGCTCCTGATTCTCCCCCACAAGACTTCTCTGTAAAACAGTTGTCTGGTGTCACGGTGAAGTTGTCATGGCAACCACCCCTGGAGCCAAATGGAATTATCCTCTATTACACAGTTTATGTCTGGTAAGAGTATTTTTTTTTTGGAAGTAGTTCTGAGAACAAATATTAATCTGTAACATAATAAGAATGCAGTTTTTTTTAATTTCAGAATGTAGTGCTACATTAGGAACCTTATTATTAAAAACCTAGTTAATATGCTTTTATTAAAAATAAATTTTCCCTATATCTTACAGTGGTACAAATACAGTCAAATCGTAGAATTTTTGTGATTAGAGTAAAGCAATTATGTGCTTGCATAATTATACTAAATTTATGCTCTTAAAATTGTAATTGATCAACTTACATGATTACAAGCATGTAATTTTAAAGTCTGCCGAAGTTTAACATAGATATTTTATGATGATGCTGTCAGCTTAAATTTTCTTGAGCAATATAGATTGAACGACTTCTAACTAAAAGAGATATTTCCTCAGAAATTTTTTAAGGTCAATTTTCCACTTAAAAGTAATCAGTATATGTATTTATTTATTTTTTCTAATCACCTTTATCTGATTACCTGTTTGTCCTTTAATTGTCTGACAAATTTGAAATCCTCTAAGTGTTTCTCATGTTGGTTAACAACATGGCTATACTGCTTCATGAAAACTTAATAGATGAAAATATTTACTTGGATTCGATACAAGTCCTTAATACAGTACAATAGGACATACCAGTTAGATAACACATTTCCTAGTGGATCTTAGACATTTCAACATAGAAAGTACAATGCACACAAAACTTTGATAAAGTAGACATTTCTATACTGTTGTATATCTCGATTTGAAAGGCCGGCATTGAATGAGAGGTGGTAATATTTTAAAGTCTACTTATCTTTCCTAATTAATATTTTTCTTTTCCTTCAATCCCTCCTTGAACTTTTTGCCTGCCACTCTTGAGGACTATACTTTCTTGTATTCTTCATTGCTTGTTTCTAGTCATTTTGCCCAGTCACCAAAGCCTTAGGAGGTCAGGAGAGATGTTAGTGAACAGGAAGCAGTGGAAGAAAGTAACTGTTCCCCTCCATTACCCTACTCATTCATTCATTCATTCATGCACCCACTCATTCATTTATTCAACAATATCGATAGAGTACCTCTATGTCTGTGAAGAAGGTACACATAAGACCCTGCCTTAAAGGAACTTACATTCTGAAGAGACAGCTAGTTACATATCCAGGGACAAACAGGTGAAGACAAAGAGGGTTACTTTTGATGGGATGCTCCAGGAAGTTCTTGAAAATAGTGGCACTGGGCTCTGAGCTAGCGCAAGACAAAGAGGAGTGTCTTGTGTAATGATGTGCAGGGAGGAATTTTCCAGAAGGAAATGGCCACTGCATTGAATCTGAGGAGATAGATGGCTTGTCTTTTTGGTGACCAGAGAGGTGAATGCTGCTGGGGGGTGGTGAAGGAGAGGAAGGTGAAATTGGGGCTAGGAGGCAGACAAAGTTAGGAGGCAGGCCATAGTAAAAATTTGGTTTTCCTTTTAACTATAATGGAAGTTCTTGGAGAATTTCAAGCACTTTGAATTCTTAACAGAGAATGAATTGCAGGGGCCAGAAATGTCAGCAGGGACACTAGGTAGAAGAGTATCCTGTAGTCTGGGCAAGAAATGATCCTGGCAATGAAGGAGAGGGCTGAGCAGCTTCGAGCAGCTACACGCGGGAAGAAGAGTTGACTGGATTTGGTGATGCATTCGCTGTGGGGATAAGAAAAAGAGATGAGTCCCGATGATTTCTTGATTTTTGAATCAAGGGTGATGACTCCAAGATTTTTTTTTTTTTTTTTTGACAGGCAGAGTGGACAGTGAGAGGGAGAGACAGAGAGAAAGGTCTTCCTTTTCCGTTGGTTCACCCTCCAATGGCCACCACGGCCAGCGCATTGCGCTGATCCGAAGCCAGGAGCCAGGTGCTTCTCCTGGTCTCCCATGGGGTGCAGGGCCCAAGCACTTGGGCCATCCTCCACTGCACTCCCTGGCCACAGCAGAGAGCTGGCCTGGAAGAGGGGCAACCAGGACAGAATCCGGCGCCCCGACTGGGACTAGAACCCGGTGTGCTGGCGCCGCAAGGCGGAAGATTAGCCTAGTGAGCTGCGGTGCCGGCCGACTCCAAGATTTTTGATACATTTATTAAGTTAGAAAAAATGTAAGTGAAACAACCTAAAGTGAAGATCTTAACCTGTTTTTCATTTTCATAAGATGCTTCAGGCTGGGATTTCCAACTCCACATTGGGAGAACAATCTTGCTCCTCTATACAGTGATCATGCTTCCTTTCCTAGAACCATGGTATTTTCAGCATCATTTGTAGCCTTGAAAGAAATGCACATATTTAGGTAGCATTTAAGGGATGGCATCTACCTGATTCTTGCATTTCTGACCATGAGCTGTCATGGTCCGTAGGAGCCTACTCTAGAAACTTAGCTGTAATTCTAGCTGTCTGTTTTTAATTCTGATATGCACAAAGGTTGCAGAACTTACTGACAGAAAGTAATGCATTTATCTACATTATACTGCAAAGATGATAGCACAGCTGGAATTTTATGTGCAATAATGCAGATGTTGCATAAAACATGTTTTCTGTAACTGGTTCTTTGTACTTTTTTTTTGCAATGATTGTGGAGGTTGTGAAGGCACTTTTTTTAGACAATTTATTCTTTTATTATTCCTCCTGGTGTTGGTCCAGTCTTTTTAGGTAAACATTGAATAAACTCACAACTTATACCCCTAATTGTTCTATATCTTTCGTCTTTCCAGAGGTATTCCTTCTTCGTGTTTCTTCCCAAGGTAAATTGCAGATGCAGAGGACTCCCAGTGAAAATAGAGTGACATTTAGACTGGAGAGTTTCTATTCATCTGGCTTCTTTGGGGAATTATTTTGGTACCAACTTGGAGTTACAACTTTCTGTTGTATGGTTCTTATTTTGTGTTTTATCCTTTATCTAGCTTCAAGGTTTATTCCAGTCTCCCGAATCTCTGGACTTGTCTGTCTTGAGTCTCATGTAGCTAGATAATTTAAATTATTCTCTCTGCCCCAATCCACAATGTGTAGGATTTGGGAAGTTTATTTCCGTAAAATTCTCTAGCTCTTGATGGTCTGCTAGAGGAGATGACAGATTTTCGATGCTGAACAGAAATTTTCTATAGCAGTTTTCATTTCTCTCTCCATCCTAGAAGGATCAAAGTCTCTTTACACTGGAACAAACCTTCCTTATATGGGCCTTACCCTTCTAAACCCATTTGAATGTTTTCATTACTCCACCCTCCTCTGAAGAACTTGGGACACCCCAGTCCAACCACTTTGCCTTTCTCTCTTAATCTCACTCTTTATTAGTAGTGCAGAGTTTTGTTGTTTTTTTTTTTTTTCTCTTGAGTAATGGATATTTCCTTTTTCATATACGCCTTTCCTTTTATAACATGACTTGAGTATAAAACTCTATGATCTCAGATTGTTGTGATTGACTATTGATGTATAAATAAAATGTAAAAAAAAAAAAACTTTTGATAAAGAACAACTACCAAACTGACTGGAAGAATTGCCATTGAACCCTGCAAATCAGGTGCACTTACCTGACATCCAGAAAGCCAATCACTGACACTAGGGTGGCTGAAGAAATGAGGTGTTTATTGCAGAGCACAGAAGAAGGAGCCAGCCTGCTATTGCTTAATCCCCAGGCTGCCTGAGGGTTATGGATGAGGCCATTATAAATTGCAGTTGGGACCAAGAGAAGGGTGTGTAGCTTGTGTCCAAGTTCATGGTTGGTTGGCAATGCTCACAGACCTCCTTCTATTAGTGATACTGTGTGTCCATTGGGGGAAATTTAATGATAGCATAATGGGCTACAATCAGCCTGGGGGCTGGGTGCAGGTGGTAGGTAGCTTTTGCTTGGGGACTGAGGTTCCTGGAAAGGATTCATTTCTGAGAGTTAATTCTGGTAAGCAGTTGATTTGATATAAAGGAGGGGGGCAAGCATACTTTAAGCTAAGGAAGGGAAGCTTGGAGATTGGGACCTGACAGTATCTAACTTGTGCATTGAAGGCATTGTATAGGGATTCAGTTTCAATCTCAAAAAGAAATTGGCTTTGTTTTGCACACAGGCAGTGAGTATCTGCTTTACGACCCGCTTTGTTTATTGCTGTAGTTAGAACATAAACACTTTTTGTTCAGCCAGGACTTGAACCCGTATGGGATGCCAATGTTTTAGGAGACAACACCAGCTCCAGAACATAAACTCTTTCAGTGATTAACTGAAATGTGATTACTATTTGTTGAATGGATGAGTGAAAAGCATATTATAAGAGCTAAAATCTAGGGGCCATCACTGTGGCGCAGCAGGTTAAAGCCCCAGTCTGCAGTGCCAGCATCCCATGTGGGTGCCGGTTTGAGTCCCGGCTGCTTCACTTCTCATCCAGCTCTGTGCTATGGCCTGGGAAAGCAGTGGAAGATGGCCTTAGTCCTTGGGCCCCTGCACCTGCGTGGGAGATCCAGAGGAGGCTCCTGGCTTCAGATTAGCTCAGCTCTGGCCATTGCAGCCATTGGGGAGAGAACCACCAGATGGAATACCTCTCTCTCTCTCTCTGCCTCTGCATCTCTGTAACTTTGCCTTTCAAATAAATAATGAAGTCTGAAAAAAAAACCAGGAAATCACAAAAACAAGCAAAAAAAGAGCTAAAAGATTAATACTGACTTTTTTTTCTTTTGCCTTTCCACCTTAAGAATAGTGATGCTTTTTCAGATAGTGGATGCTTTGTGTAATAGGATAAAATCAAATAAAAAAGGAAAAACTCTTTAGCATGTCTGAGAGTATAGTGTATAGTATATGGAGTGCGTATAAATGATAGTGAGGTAAATCATGGATATTTTCAATTTCTTTCATCTTGTTACTAGGGTACTTTTTGGAAGCTCTAGCTACTGTAGCTAAAGGGAGTGTTAAAATTCTTGTATTAGTCACTATGAATGGGTTTTTGGAACTTTTTCCATAGTCTTTGTGATTGGAAAACTATGAGGCAGGTATCACAAGTTCATGTGAGT